ATTATATACACTTATTACTGTTAAATTATATTTATCGTTGTAAACCTAATCCAATTATTTGCTTTTACACAAAACTGAAAATAAATAAATAAACAGCTGCGCAGATCTAAATACGTACACGCATCATAAATCATAAAGTCAAAAAAAAAAGCGATGTACTGTATATCGGATATACAAAATTTCATTAACTTTTTTTTTGCTATGTAACTATTTTTCCCATGTAACTATTTTTCCCTCTAACATACCCAACCCGCTGTTAATTCTAAAAAGTGGGCGTCACCTAGAGGTAGTGCGATACTAGGGACACCCGTGGAGGGGAATGTAGCAAGCCAGGGATTCCGCCCCCCAACGACAAAAATTAGTTTAATATCGAAGATCCACAGTGTGGATCATTTCAGATATTAAGCTGAAAAGAACAGATACTACACTTGATCTTAGCCAAAAGGCTTGAGAGGATAGGGAACAACAAATGTTTCTGCAGTGCATTTTATATAAAACTTCAAAAAATTGTAAATTATGGGATTTACGTATCTGATAACGTGATTAACGGAAGATCTCGGACAAATATATACGGTAATTTCCACATATAATTTTGTACAAAATTAAATGAATATTCGGGTTGTAATGTATCAGAATTGGGCCGGCATTAAGCAATACCTATAACAAAAATATTATCTGGACATTTTCACTTAATTCTGTACTAAAGGTCATGACTTCATTAGTAAAATTTATTAATCCCAGACTAATTAATTAGGGATGTTAGATGGTCCGCAGGGGACCGGTTTTGGACTGGTTCTGGACTGGACTTTTTAAGACTTTTAGGGACCGTCCACAATCAGTCCGAAACTAGTCCAGATAATCACATGATATGAATTGAATGTCATTTTGACACTTCGAATGAAATTTAATAAAACTTAAATCAAGAACAATACTTTTAATTGCCTTAATTTAAGGAAGTATAATGTTCTTTAATTGGGTTAGGTATTCTGATTGGTTGTTTTGATGATTGTTCTTTTTTTTTGCCGTATAATACAAAATTACAAAATTATATGCATTGTACAGTATATTAAAACCACTAGAGTTGGACCGGTTTCAACAGGCAGACTTTTTAAGGACTGGACTGGGACTGGACCAGACGGACTTTTTAACATCCCTACGTGTATGTGATTGCAAATATGTAGTACATATGCATATAACATATGATTTTGATTACAAAACTCGACATGTTGTTGATAAAAGCGTAGAAAAACAGATTAGTGATAAAAAATCATTTCAAGAGGCAAGGCAAAGTGCCCTAGAAAGTTGTGAAAAATTACGCAGGCAACTAGAAAGTGAACAAAAGAAGATAGCTGAAATTAATATTTGCTTTGCGAAATTTTTAAGACAAAGTGCGATAGCCACATTTAATGATTCATATGCTGATTACTTAGATCATTTCATACGTGAAGAAAAAATCAAGAAAGCTGCAGATCCTCTTAATTATAATGATGCAATTTTTGAAGGACTTGAAAAGACGAAAAGAGAATATCTGGAAAAGATAAAAATTATAAAAGAAGCAATCGCAACTAATGACCCTTCTGAATATGTAATTACTCCAGAAGATATAAAGAAATATGAAAACGACTTGTATAATTTGAAAATCAATGGTGTATCCTTGAAAAAAATGAAATATGTAGCAGAACGTAGTCAAGCCCGTGCATTTAGACAATATCAATCTAAGACTTATGGTCATAGAAATGCACACAAATCAGTATCTAAACTTTTTACCCGAATATTTAACGCACTTAAATTGAAAGATGATAACTATGCCAAATCGGTTTATAATAATAATTATGACGTTGTGAAGTATTCACAAAATGATGACAATTACGTTGATAGTAGTGATATTTATTATGATTGTGATGACAACTCGAATTATTCTGATAATTATGCTCTTGTTAAGCTTTCACAAGATGATTACGATAATTACAGAAATCGCTATTTTAATCATTATACTAATTCGAATTATACTGATAATTATACAATTGTGAAGGTTTTTAATGATTAACATTTCAAGCCCTAATATATGGCACTAGACTATTTTTCTTCGAAATTAGTAGATAACAAAAAACATGAGCCAACAGACTTATGCGTTTACTCTAAACAATTCTAAATTGTAATCGGAAGTAACTAGTTTGTAACTTCTCGGTGGTTTTTTTTTCATCATCTTATTTTTGTTAATATATGTAAATGTTGTACCCCGGATGGGAATCCGCCCAATTCAGAATCCGGCTGTCCCGATTCAGAATCGGGGCAGCCGAATTTAGAATTCCTATACGGGGTACCCGGAAACCTCCCAGCGTAACAACCACGATCAGTTGTTTAAAATCTGAGATTTTATTTAACCGAATCTCAAAAACTTTAATATAAAATTTTATTGTGTCAAGAAAAGTGCTTATTCGAAATTTATTTGATAAATAATTATTATCTAACTTTACATACACATACTATATCGTAAATTTTTATTGTGTCAAGTGTTTTTTCGAAATTAATTTGGTAAACTTTTTATTACCTAACTAACATACTATATCATTAAATGTTCATGAAATCTAAATTTACCAACAAAAAGTATTTTATTTCGTGTTCCTGGTTCTTGAAAGGCTTTTCATTTAATTCAGATTCTTTATATCTTTTTGGAATTCAATCGATACAAATTTCTTAACATTTTTTTTGAATTCGATAATCGGATTCCATTAATTAGATTTTTATGAATATCTGGTAAGAAAAACTTTTAAACTACACTTGTTTATTAAGTTACAATATAAACAGACATCGTCCTTATTAACTAATTATTAATTATAACCAATACATAAATTTACAGTATTTCAACTCCGTCCGTAACTGATCGTGGTGTTCGTGTTAACACCTGGAACATGAACGTGAATTCAAATCATGATCATGATCATGTACTACATATAAATATTTACCCGGGTACCCCGTATAGGAATTCTAAATTCGGCTGAATCGGGACAGCCGGATTCTGAATCGGGCGGATTCCCATTCGGGGTACAACATAAATATTTGTTTACAGTATATATATCTTATTTATATCTTTGAGGAAATATATTAGATAAGAGGCATTATGCCATTTTTTTTCATTATAAATAAAGGTCATGTTAGCCCTTGAGAAAATACACAAAGAAAAGAAGTCGTTCAACTATATCTAATACGTACATTCGCTAAATCCTTATATATGTGTTTTTCTTAAGTAAATAAACATATTCCAATCCGTTACTAAGGATATTCTCCAGCTCATTAAAATGTAATTTACTAGTGATCGAGATTAGGGATGCCAATGGTTACGATCGGTTACGATCGATCATAAGCAAATCGCTAAATTTTATTAAATAAAGTTGATAAGAAGCAAATTCTGATATATTATAAGATAAAATCAGATTACCTTCTTTAGAACTTAAAAAGGAAATTATATACTCCAACAGCGCCACCAAAAATTTTCGATACCACAAAATTTTGACCAATAAAACTAGTACATGATCATGCGGTGGCTTTGCCACCCAGTTTTTAACTTTATTGTTTTGATATTAAAAATCTAGCCGGTTATACCCAAAATCAACTGTACGTACGTTATATATAGCTTTACTTCGTTAGCTTCATTTTAAGTCCAATACTATATTTTTTTAAAAAATATTTAAGAGTTAAATTTTTTCTATAATTATTGGTCAATCCGGTATATATCTGATAGCAATATTTACTTAATGAAAACGGGCATGACTTTTTCAGTAAAACCGATAGCGATAGTGATAATGGATAAAATTAATCTGGAATGATTTATGATGATGATCAGGTAGCAAAATGGTTAACGATGATTAGGTACAGTAGTTACCGAGTAAATCCTTCGTTAAAGGCTTCTTGTCGTTTCTTTATTGATTATCAATTCACAAAAAATTCAAAATACAAAAAAATAAAAAATAAAAACTATCATAAGGTTATGTATGTATAAATATTATTGGAGTTTGCATGGAAATAACGAAAGATATTTCAATACATACAATTCATTATTGAGTAAATTTTCTTTTTAGCTTTTATACCCACGTATGGATTTAACTTATAGTACATACGTAGCGAGTACATATACAATAAATAAATAATTTAAATATTATTTATCCAATTAGAACTATATATTTAATTATATATTAAACATAGAATACATTTTTTAATTGCTGTTAATTTAAATTAAATAGTTATTAATATACCCAAATTTATATAATATGTAAAAATTTGTAAAAAAAAAAACTTTTGTTTGATATTTTAAGGCCAACGGGAAAATTTTTTTAGTGCAGGTCTGCGCAAACTTGCAGAATTTTTATATAATAAACAATTTTGCAATTTTCAAAACTGGTGGCTATTTTCACAGAAAATAAATACAATTCTGTGCAGAATTTTATTTCTTGTAAAATTTTGCAAATTTTTTCCTGATACTGTAAAATCTGTATCTTCACAGAATATTGCAGATTTGAGTGGAAAAATTTTCCCGATGTTATCCTACTTTGATAAAGGGTAATAATGTCTGCTACAGCCCTAAGACCATTTTAAATACTGTGTTTGAAACTATTTCTACTATGCGTATTATATTGTATTATGTAATTTTATTTTATTTTATCTGTTTATTTTATTTTTAATTATTGCATTGCTATACATTTACAATTCATTTACCGTTCTAGCTTTAGTAAATGTTTTTCATTAATTTGCTTATTCCTGACAATCGTTTTCACAGAATTGGACAAATTATATAAACTCGATTATGTGACGAAGTTGACATTCACAATTTTAAATAACATAATATGAAAATAATAGAATCAAATACTGACGTAAAAATACGTTTTCATTTCTCTATAAGTGATAATACAATTACGCCAACCAATAAATTTAATTAAAAATCTCATGATCACGTGAGTACATAATTTTTTAGTGACGCTAAAAATAGAAAATCATGAGTAGACGCAAATGACGTTATTATGATATATTTAATCTGTAATAATATTAATACAACATTAATTTGACAAAAATTCACAAAAAAAAAAATTTCCTCTCAAAAGAAATGTCTGATCCACGAAAAAGTGACGAGTTGCCTGATCCACAAAAAGTTAAAAATCTTATTGCTGGTATAATAAATTTATACCTTTTAATAATCATCGATTATTCACTTTCTATGAATATCCACACTAAATTTTTTTATTTTTGAAAAAGGAAGAGATTCAAATTCTGCTGTAGCGTCTCATGCGCTTCCAAAACATCATTATACGGCAGACCCCAACGAAGTTCCTGATGACAAACAAAAATGGCAAGACCAAGAACTCCGTGTACATGTCGGTAATGATAAAAAAGGTATGCATAAAATGAAATATGTCGCTTATACAATTAAAATCTGTTAATTTTTAATTCATAAATAGGTATTGTCGGCCAAGTAGAAAAAGATTGGGAAGAATCAAAAGATAACAAAAAAGCCCACAAATAACAGTGCTGGAAACCCGATAATTTAAGCACAAATTTTAAATAGTTTTAATATTCTCTATTAACACAATAAACATGTGTGAATAACCAGCATTTTTATAAATTATTATTCAATCTGTATCTTGGATACGAATGTGATGTAATAAATACATGATTCATTAAGATATGTGAATAAAATCAAGAAATCCTGTATAGTCTTTTCTCTTGAGAAACATTGTGTTAAATGAGGGTTAATATGTGAATATTTCGTCTAATAAATTACTGAATGTCACTAATATCATTACGAATGAATTTATAAAGCAAGCGAAAATTATAAATAACGAAACCTTCACTTCTAACGGGTTACTTTTGTACGGCGAATATAGACCTTCTTTCAAAACTATAATGGTGATTTTGTTAGTAAAATAATCACATTCTCGAAAAAAAAATTACTTTAAATCATATTAATATAAACAAGTTACTTCTGTGTGGCAGTCGTGGCTGATTTTTTTTTAAAAAAATCTATAAATCTACTAAAATTCACTTATACTTTTTTGTTAACAATTCTAGATACTAACCTTTAAAATATAAAGCACTTATCAGTTACAGTAAGTCGTTAATTTAAAAATTTTTACGGTTTACCACAATTTTAATGACAATTTTCATATTGTAGATACGTCAACATGATGATATTTTGCCTTGTTTTTTAGAAGATCCTATTAGAAAAGCTTTTATGATTGACATCAATAGAGATATGAGAGTCTCAAGAAGACTTAATTCTATGGTATGTAGATAATCCCAACAAGAGGCAAAAGCCTGGGAACTACAATAAAAACTGAGGTCATCAAAGGAGGCATTAAAGGGTCTCTCAATCATCTTCCTGAGTGTGATTAGATAGTGATCAAAATGACGCACAATCATTACAATCAATGAATATAAAGATTGTGATCAATGATTGAGTGAACTCTTTTAATATTACAGTATTACGATTATCATGTCTCCAACAAAAAAAAAAAGCAACCGTTCAATGAATAATAAAAATATATTACCATTACCGACAACTTCAAATGTATCTGTTCCAATTACTTCAAGTGTTTCCGCTACTTCTTTAGCAATTCTAAATAATTCTATTGTCTCTTCACCTAATTACAATACTCCTGTTGTTCCTTTTACGGATTTAGCAAATTATTATATGCTGGTACAACATTATTCTTCTGCGCCACTATTTAATCCTTTAGTTTTAAATAGAACTAATAGCAAATATGAAGAAGTATATATTGAATTTTATTTAAATTTGTAATTTTTTATAAAGAATTAATAATAAATTTTTTAGGTATCTCTTTTAAAGTCATCCATTAGTGATAATAATCAAACTTCTACTACTAATAGTAGTTAAGAAAATTTACAAGTTGTAGATGAAATATCAAGTTTATCCAACGCTGATACTATTTCAGAAATAAACCAAATAATCGATGGACATCATTCGAAGATAACAAATGTCAGTTATTTTTTGGGGGTTTTTTGATATTTTTTATTTGTCATGAAAGTTTCTAGCACAAAGAGTAAAAAAATAATTTGTTGTTAGAAGTGTATTTATTGCAAAGTATAAGTGCAAAAGTATAATAATTCAATTGTAAAAAAAAAAAAAAAAAAGAGTTGATTATAAAAAAAAATAAAAATAGTTCGATAATAAAAAAAAATTATGGTTTGATCATAAAAAAATAATTGATCATAAAGTGCTTGAATAATCTCACTCTATAATAAATTTTGGCCAATCAGTGCAGCTCTATAAAGAAAAAAGATGGTCACTAACCATCTTTTTTTTTTGACTGCGGTGATAAACTCTCTTGACCAGCTGAACTAATTTTTATTAATTAAAATTTATACACCAATCTATTGATTGAGGCGCTTAAGAGCACCCGAAATGTCTCTATCCGCAGGTATTAGAGATCTTTTTTTTGATTTTGAATCAGGATATTGTGATAGAATAAGTGAATATATAAATATAATTGTGCAGCTATCCCCAACTAGTAATATCACTTGATGTTTGCTTTCAAGCAAAAATATTATTTTTGACCTAATAAATTGATTCTTTTTTGCAAGTACAAATTTTTTCCTCATCAAAGCAAGCTCTTCAGAGCTATTAAGTTAATATTAAAGATTACTTTATTCCATTTATTAATTTATTTCTGACTCCCTTTTAGAGTAACAACAGAGTAATTTTTGAAATTCCTTCAAGCTAATTTCGAAAAGTCACCAGTTAGTCTAGTAAGCATATTTTATTGTACTAAAGTTCAGAGAATCAGCGAATAATTATAGTATCCCTTAATATGTAGACCAACGCAGGCAAATTTGCCTGCGTTTTTGCACTTTTTTAGCTCTGATTTACTTTTTTA